GGGAAAAAACATGGGTAAAAAACATGCAGGTGGAGGAACTGCATTGAATTGTCCTGCTCTATGGAATAGAAGAGGTAGACGGCATTGCAAAGATGGTTTAAATTGTCTGTATTTGATTTAGCACCTTCTACAGTCCTGGAACCCCCCAAGGTGCTTTACAACACAATCAGTCATCCATCCATTCACACACACAATCATACACTGGTGGTGACGAGCTACAATGTAGCCACAGCTGCCCTGGGGTGAGGCGCCATCGGTTCCTCCAACCACCACCAGCAGGCAAGGCGGGTTAAGTGTCTTGCCCAAGGACACAATAACAACGACAAACTGAGCGGGTCTTGAACCTTGCACTCCTGTGCCACCATCGCCCATGTTTAGTGAAATATCTCTTTGAACATCTCAAACACACGCACACACACACACACACACACACACACACACACACACACACACACACACACACACACACACACGCATGCACGCACGCACACACACACACACACACACACACTGGTGCAATGCTTTTGTCACATTAAACCTATTATAGAACTCTGCTTGTTAAAGTCTTTTCAGGACAGTTGTTTACCTCATTGTGTTTGCATTTGAATGAAATTAGTTGGAGACAAACCAGTAAACATACCAATATTTTTTTCTTGTTGGGATATAAATCATGCCCTTTTTTACATCCCTGCTAACTTAGCATATGTAGGAATGCATCAGAAGACAAACCTAATTAAAACAATTCTCACCTTTGATGTTTACACAGAAATCTAGATCCTTCAAACACCCTTTTCCTGATTTATGCCCTGAAAGAAGTCCACAGGCTTTTTAATAACAAGTTCCTGCTCTGTGTATTCAAATTTGACAAAATGAGAAGTGCAACATCTTTCTGTTGCGCTTGAAAAAAAAAAGAAAACATTTGCTGTGAACACATTTGAAGCAGCACGTGGTTGACATTGATTTAATACTATAAATCTGCTGAGGCTTTCATTTAGAGAAACAAAGAGTGAGCAACCCTCCCTCTTGTTCCCTTCACTTTTATTTTTAATTTTTCTGCATGGGAGATCGAGGAATTAAAATTCATTTTTCATCAAAGCATAAACATAATGCTGAGAGCTGAAAATCCACAGAATCAAATGCATATTGTGTGTTTGTCGGAGATGAAAAGCTTTTGTTGTTAAGCAACATTACTGCATCATGTTCCAACAGATGTTGACACACTGGATAACATGATTGGAAGGTCCATTTTTCTGCAGCTTTTCTTTAAAGATTATCAAATGATTGAGGATGGTTTGGGCTTTCGAGTTGAAAATCAACTCATTTTGGTGGAAATTCTTAAGATAGAAAGGTATGACTTCCACATATAATATTAACAACAAAGATGTTTTTTGGTTTGTCTGTTTAAGCAACCTCAGTATTAATAAAGTCATCCTTTTGAAAATTAGGATCAATGGAACCAGCTTCAATTTTTTTTCATGTTTTGTTTATGTGCAAATGAATCATTAAACCTTCTTATTGTAGGGGAGAAGTTACGCCATGCACACACTGGGTTTTTGTGAGACCACATATCCTCTCCTGTCTGTTTAGGAAAACGAACTTGGGTCCACACCACCTGGTTTTGAGCAAAACAAATCCAGTGCATTGTAAAGCACATTCACAGGCCTGGAAAGCCTGCAGGCGGCAGTATTTCCCCAAATCATTAACATCTGGTGAAAAAAAATTCCTTGGATGTGGAATAACAAGTTGGTCAGCAATAATAATAATAATCTTCTACATAGAGCAGTAACTGAGCTTGTAAACACAAGCTGTTTAGGGTAAAATCAGGTCACACGTGTGACATCAGAGCATTTTTGTCATCAGTAGTGGAGAAATGTTTTTGGTGTCGTTTATCTTCACTTTCGTGTGGATGACAGAACAAACCACAGAACGTTGTGTACAAGGTCAGAGAGCCCAAAGAACATTTTCTGGGGCCGTTTCCCAAGGCGAGATGGATTTGATTAAGGGCTTGTTTTGCTACACAATGACAAACACATAAAGGGACCCACACCTGACCACCGATCTGTGAACCCACCACACACTTTGCACCTTCTTAATCATAATAATAATAATAATAATAATAATAATAATAGCCTTTATTGTCATTGTACAGGATACAACGGAATTGGAGTGCCACTCCCTTGGTGCACAATACAATAATACTGCTAAATATAAAGGTCCCCTAAAACAAAACAATAGTAAGTACAATATCTTCTTTGGGACATCAAGGTGTGCAAGCCACAGAAGATGTGTAACACCTCCTAGAAGTTCCGGTCCTGCCCTGGAGTTTCCTAACCCACTAACTCACCTCAAGTTACCCCTATGGATACAGACAATCTATGGCTGCACTTGCAGCCAAAATAGAAAAAAAAAACCTCTGGGGGGCCTTGGTGGTCTGGGAGCCCCAAGGAAGAGCCTGCCCTGCCTTATTGGCATGCAGCGCCTGTGCTCTGAGCTGACTGTGCTCCTCACCTTAGCGTTTTAGCAAAACTTTAAATCTAAATGCAACTGCAGTTAGCATGCTTATCTTTAGACATGGTATAGTGTTTTTTTTCCGTGTGTTTTTCTATGACATTTTCATGGAACTTGTTATAGTTTTTTATAACACAACATTTATTTAGTTTTGATTTGGCAAATCCTGAACAGTCTGCAAATGGCATGTTAGCTGCTGTCTGGTTGGTGTATGCTGAGCTACTCTGAACATTTTCTTTTTTTTTTTGGTCAGATGACAAGAATCTAACAAGCTCTGGAAAACAGGGGTCTGAGTGAGATAATGAGAAACCCAAAGCAGCTGCGGTGTTTAAAACTAGGACCAGAAACGATGGGGAGCAGAATGTGAGACAAACAGGGAGGAAAAAACAAAAATGAAAAACAAATTTAAAATGAGATAGAATCAAGAAAAAAAATCAAAAACCCAAAACAGAGCCTATAAAGAGCAAAAATCACAAAAAACTAAATAAAGAACATTTTTAAAGCTGATCACTGGGATTTTAAAAACAAGTTTCACAGCCAGATCTAAGAAGAGTTTGCCTTAATTTTCTTTCTTTTCTTTATGCTTTGAAGTTTTTCAAATATTGTTAACCTTTCTGTGAATAAATATGTCAACCTCATAGAAGGTCATGCATAAAACCACACCCTAATGGTAGATGGTAAGGTTGGATTTATACTTCCTACTGCAACATAACAAATGTAATAATGTACTCAAACGTTTCACTACTTCAGTGCTGTTTCAGTTACATTAAAAACAAATCTATCAAAATAACATCCTAGACACAACAACTGGATCATATGACATCAAACATTTTAAACAACAAGACAGCCCAACAGCAGAATTGTAAAAGGACATCAGTGAATTGCACTAGAATCTGCCAGCATGACTTTAGTTGTCAATAGAGTACAAGTCTGCACAATGACCTCCTCTAGGGCTGAGTCAATCAGCTGAATACCAGAGGAAAAACAAAAACATCAAACAATTAATTTGCAACTATTTTGAATAGCAATGAATCATTTAATTAATGGTCTGCCTCACTGGTGGTAGAGAGGCAGGATGACGGCTCTGGTTGGTAATTCACCTCATTAAATGACTTTTGGACGAACTGTAAAAATAACCATCCTCACGGACTTTTGGGCTCTGAGGATGTTCATTCTGACTGACTTGCTTTGACATTTCTGTTGGTTTACAGTCCAAACACATTTGCTGACTGTATTTTCACACAGATTGATGCAGACTTTATAGATATGAACTGGAAACCTCAGTTTTAAAGCTTTGTTTGTTTGTTTGTTGATAAATAAAACTAACTTGCAGCTAAATACAACTGCAAAAAGGCACTTTCATAATTCAGGTTGTGATTCTTTTCTGTTAGAATGATCCTTGTGCTACTTTCAGGTTACTGAGGATGTGAATGGCGAATTACAGCCCTGCTTTGGCAGTTTGATAGGTGATGAAGAAAACCATAAATCTTGTCAGACCAGAATTTTCTATCCGAGTTAAATTTGTTATCATGCAGTGAAACTATTTCACCTCATCTTCATCAAAATATTCACCTGAAACTCAATTTTTCTGTCTTGAAACTGCATTAATTCATAGCTTGATCTGTATTAAACAATATTTTAGGCTTTGGTTTTCTATCATATTAAATTCAAACTAATTACACCTCCATCACTGAGCTGTCATGTGGATTTTGGGAAAACTGTGACTGATTAGAATTCCTCTTTGCTCTCTCGCCATCTTCCTTGGTTCTAGAAACCAGTCTAACACATGACTGGCTTTTGGTTCATTATGTCTCTTAATGAGACAGGCTGTTTGTCTCAGATGGAATGAAACCACACACATTTATGTTTATCTTACAGCTCACCTTCTGGGCAACACCAACCAGAGAACCTGACAGGTCTTGGCTGTGGGTGATTTACTTTTGATTTTTTTTCTGTCTAAAAACACAATTTTATTAAAACATCCACATTTGCTGAGAATACGAAGGGAAACATTGCTGGAGACCTAAAATAAGACGGTGAGATATTCTTTTTTTATTGTAGTGGACACGTGCACTTATTCCACCGGTGCTTTTAAGGTGGGGGAGTGATAATAGCCCCTGCATGTTGAGTGTGAATTTATTTGTGGATGGTGACTGTGGAAATGGTCCGCTTTGGATGACTAGATAGAGAATAGCGCCTGTAGGTGGCAACCATACTTCATCAACAACTGAATCACACGCGCATACAAGTTACATACACACACACACACACACACACACACACACACACACACACACACACACACACACACACACACACACACACTAGATCCGAGCTTTATGCGTTAATGCTATTGATCCCTGATAATTAATGACCGCTGGGTGATTTAAATAGCCCGATAGACGCGCAGGCAAAACTGGTCAAAGTTAAAGTGCTCCCTGGGCAATAGAGCACCACGCGCGCGTGTGGGCGTGCGCGCACCTATACTTAGCCCTCAGAAACGCACGCTTCTGAGTCACACGCGCGCGCACGCTCACGCACGCGGTAGATCTGTGCCTGGAGACGAATCGAGCGCGCTCGCTATTCAAGTCATGGACGGCGGCGAGCTGGGGGACCATTAGGAGCCGTTGGCACAAAAACCCGCTTTATTTGCAGCACACGGACGCTGCTGGCTCTCTACGCGCGTCGGACACACGCGCCCTGACAGGCGGGATTATTACTGATGTAATCAATACAGAGAATCGCTTTGGCTGGAGAGAGAAAAAAAACACATTCATATTTCACCCGAATCGTCCCTGTTCTTGACAGAAAACGCTGTGTGCCATATGCTCTGCGACTTTCAGAGCAGCCGATGGCAACCCGTTGGTACTGATGCGGCGCGTGTGATGGTTGCAGTGGGACGGATATCCTTAATTTGATCCAAGAGGTGTTCTAAGGTGTTTTTCTTCTTGGATGCTTCTGTTTCGCTTCTCCACTGACCTTAATCACAGCTTTCTAATGCTATTTTGGACTGACAGAAAAAGGCTTCCACTTCTTTTTAAACCTTTATTTCATTTTAGGTTGTTTTCATTTGTTTTCTCAGTCTAATTTGATGTGTGGATTATTTTTTTTATACATTTAAATCATCTAGGAGACATTTTTTTTTCTGGGACTGTGGTCTTGGGTGAAGAAAAAGGGGGCCATACTGACTTGATCGCCCATCTAAAACTCTGCAGGATTGTCCTCCTCATCCGTCCTGAGAGGAATACCTTTGAGTCCAGGAGGCTACCGCGGCTCCTCTGAGGGGTTTCATCGGCTGCATTCGGGGGAATGGTGACCACACCGCAGATGCACGCAACTCTTCCTGAGTGTTTCGGCGTTTTTCACAGCCGAGCATCTTGAGTTGTGATCGAGGGAGACGCGGACTGCAGCAGCCTCCAGCCTTTTTTTTCCTCACATGGAGATTTGTGTCTCGGTTGTGCTGCAAATCTTGAAAACGTGGACGGGGGCCCTGCTGATTTTTCATGCACTGTTCTCGCCCTCGATTTCTTTTATTCGAGAAAATGCGTAAGTATTTTCATTTCATGCTGTCAACATTTCGCCTCCTTTATGCTGTTTTATTTCCCCTTCACACAATCGCCATTAAACCGGCGATTCGCGTTTGGCTCATAGACTTACATCCACATTTTAAACATACTTTTTTAAGGTATTTTAATTCCTCTCTGTGAAGGATGCAAGATCTGTCGCATTCTCTCTCGAGGGCGAGCGCCCGTGTGTGTCTCTAAAGCTGAGATATAAATATGTGGGATGAAAGATAGAGGGGGTTGGAGAAATGTGGAGGTAAGTGGTGCAACAAATCCTGTGTTTGAGCGCTTCATAGAGACTGTTAGTCCCTCTTTCCAGCAGGACAATACTGATAGAAAAAGGCCTACGTCATATGGTAATTCAAATTCAGTTCAGGTATTCTCATCATACACGTTTGCAGCAAAAAGAACGCCGGATTGGCCAGGTGAACTGGCTAGTACATGAGTGGAGCTCTGAGTTTGAATGAGCCACGTCCCTCTTTCTGTAGAGAACCAGTGGGTCTGAAATAAAATCCCAGTAAAGCGAGGTAATTTCTCTTCACCACAACTTTGCATCTAATGCATGCCGTTAAAACGTCTACCACCTCACAATTGGTGTTTAGGAATCGCAGCAGTTTGGGAAAAATATGGAAGTAGGAGCTGTCCACCAGTGAGTGGTGCTGAAAATGCTCTGGTTGAATTGAGAGACCTTGGTTTAACTGACATTGCAACTGAAGCTGCAGCCCAAAGCTGTAACCGACTCATCCTCAAGTGTGCCCCACCATATTCACATCTGGTGATTTTATGGCCAGTCTTTAAAATGAAGGACACGCTCTGAATGTGAAGGCTTGGTTACCACACTAGGTGCATGCACGTATGAGCATAGGCTATCCAATATGCAGTATCTCCCATAAAGCCAATCTAATTGGTTTGGCTCTTTGATGGCTAAATTGTGATATGAGTCGTCTGTGTATTCAAACAAATTGGTCTGTCAATAGTGAGAAATTTAGCTCACTATGCATGATAGCATTTGATATTTAGTGTCCTAAATGTCAGAGACATCTGATTAACTGTTATTTATAGAGAGAAATGGTCAAAATAAAGTCTTTCATCTTATGTGAGGCGATTTGAATATTTTTTTCTGAAATTATCCATTACATTTTTATTTCAGGGCTCTGTAATGCTCATATCAGAGCTGAACATGAGATAGCTCTCTTGTAAGTGTCTCAATAGGGCAATAGGTCACCTGAGCAGACAGACTGAGCCACTGGGTTTTTTTAAAAAAAAGAGAGAAACTTGAGAGATGTGTGTCAGTCCTGCTTCTGAGAGAAGTGTTCTGCATGGAAGAGAATGCGTGGCCATTGGGGGTGGTGCACGTGAGCTATGTGCTGATGGCAAACGGCCCTGCTTCTTGTCACAGCCTGTGAGTTTGTGACTTCATCACCTTGTTAAATTGTTCAGTCTCAGGACAAAAACACCACAACATAAGGAATGTGATCATCCTGACAAACATTGTAGCTTTTGGCATTTACCTGCCTGCCAAGGGACAGAATTGAAGCAAAGCCATGCTAGAGATGCTCACCACAACAGCCCTGACAAAAGCCCTCACTGTGGGAAATGAGCATTTGGGTGAATGGATTTCTTTTCATGCGTGACACACATGTAGTCAACCACTGGTAGAGAACAGGGAGAATGGTGACTCATCCAACTATCTGTGGCTTTTTGGTCTGACTAAATTTCAGCTTTTGTTCTTGCACAACCTGATGTGTAGAAAATAAATTAAAAGGTATAATTTTAGCTGTTTGCAAAAATACTTCTTTGAGAATTTCCTGTCACAAGCTGCTTTCTTACTATGAAAAAGAGAGTATGCTGATTCATGTTGCCTCATTTCTGTTGCCACTGGCTGCTTTATTATGTACACCTGGCTAGATGATTCAACAAGGTCTTGGAAACAATTCTCAGACTTTGGTCCGTTTTGACTGACAGCATCTCACAGCTTGTGCAGGATATGCAGCTGGAATGGGCTGAGATCTGGAGATTGTAGAGGCAGCACAGTGACACGGTGTATTATCCTGCGTGAAGTAGCCATCAGAAGATGGGTCCATGTGGTCATAAAGGGATGGACATGGTCAGCTACAATACCAGGTTCCAGTAGTACTGTGGGTCCAAAGTTCACTGCCACCTGACTGATTGATACAGATCATGATGGATACATTTTTTTATGTTCTTGACATTAAATTAGATCTGATCACCACAGTGCTGAAGCTAGGGAATGGAATTGATACATCTTTATAAATATCAATGTCGTTGTCGATTCTGTCTATCAATCCATTGTCTCCTGCATTATGACTCTCAGTTTATTAATGACAAATAATCCATTGTACCTGTATCGGTTGGAATGATCTTTCCAATTGTTCTCCTTCATGCTTCTTAGGCAGAGTCAGCTTCTTGTTCGGTGCAGTGTTGCTGTAGCTTTTGCAAGATGGGCAAATCTCACCACCGGTCAGACTTTAGTTGCTGGAGTCTGCTAGTGTGGAGGTGTGTGTACTGTATAAGGCTAACATGATAGGCAGTGTTAGCAGTGTGTGCAGTATTAACAGGTGAGGCCGTGCAAACGTCTCCACTGCTAAAGCTTTGAAATTCACTAGTCCAGAGCGAGTCAAAAACATGACAGTCTCTTAACCCTTTGATGCATAATGGTCACTACAGTGGACAGGTACTCAAAATTGTTATTTATTTATTTTTGCTATTAAGCACAGCTGTTGAAGACTTTATTGCTTTTGAGACCCTCCATTTGGACTTCAGTAAGTCAAGCCAACATGTTTCAGGTTCAGAGTGCCCGCTGCCCACTGAGGTTGACATGTAATAAATTATTTGTAAATTATTAAATGTTGCAAAAAAATTTGTTGATTTTTTTTCATTCACACCTAAAGATGAATGAAAAAAATTGTTAAAAATGATGGTTGAAGATTTCATAATTCATGCATCAAAGGGTTAAGTTATCGTGTATTTTGTGCCCAAATGCTTTAGCATATTTGTAGTGTTTCCTCTCTTTGATGAAACATCTACTTTGCAAGTTTCCCTGTTGTCATCCTTTCTAATAAAGTATAATGAAACTTTCGAGGGTTTGTGTCACTTCAGCGCCACGTTTTCCTGCTGGGTAAATGTGTACGCTACACAATGTGCGTGGTGATGTCATTCGTGCCGACTAGAATTGATGAGGCAATGATTCCTAGAACCGGATTTCGATTCCCACCCCGTTGAAGCTGAATCCAGACTCTTTAGTCCTGCTTTGTCATCGGTTTCTAAAATACTCGACCATCTGGTTCCAGTGACCATGATACATTCAAAGCCAATTAAATCTAAATTTTTCTTCATTTTGAAGCTCAGTGTTATTGCCAGGTCATCTTGACCACATCTAGAAGCCTAAATGCCATGTTGCTGGCTGATTAGCTACTCATGTTAACAAGCAACTGAGCAGGTATACCCAATTATGTGGCCAGTGAGTAGATATTTGTAATTAGTCAAGAACTATGCCGGTGCTGGTTTTCGGTGGAAATGTCGCCTCATGATTTCATCCTGCCATCCTGACCTTAGCCATTTTATCTAACACTATTAAGTCAAACAATCAAAGAATCTCCAGTAAATGTATTTTAACATTCAGCCCTGTTATGAAACTACGTTTTTTCCACAAAGCACCACAGGAGTTTCAGTAATGAGCAACTTGGTCTGCCCAGGGTTTTTCCACAGAACACTGGGCCTGGTGGGATACTAATCGCTGAGTAATATTTATGGCTAGTTGCCCACATGCACACATTTCCTTTTGTTTAGAAGTTAAATAATGCAAAATCAAAACTAGAACTCTTGACTGATTTTTTTCTCCCAAAAATCCTCAGGTTATGGGTCAATGAGATAAAGTTCAAATCATTTCACTCGTGCTGCAGCTGAGGCTCAATCTAATTTCAGTTTGACATTTTCAATAGAAGAAAGTCTACTCTTGTGCGTGTTCAGCCTTTGCACGGCTGTGGTGGCTCTAAAATGTGCCAAAGAATAATATTAAAAATAAAATTACTTTATAAATTAAGACATAATGAAAAATATTATTTAATTTTATTATATGTAAGAAAGAATTGACCGAGAAGCCCCTGTCGGGGAGTAATGGGCCCATTTGCCTGGCCCAAAACACCTGTGCAGAGTTTACATGTTCTCTGTGTGTCTGCATTTGTTTTCTCGCAAATAACCCAACAAGCATGTTAGGTTATTTTCCACATGCATGAGCCAATGGTTGCCTGTCTTTCTGTGTTGGACTAAAAACCTGGAAAGTGTGCAACCTGCCTCCTTTTTGGTGTCGGCTGGAAGGGACTTCAGCCCTCTGTGACCCTCTGAGGGGTCAAGCGGGTGTAGCTAATGATGGATTTGCTGATTTTCTTATTAGATTCCTCTGGGTTTTGGTATTTAAGGACATCAGCTTATTCGTTTGGAAAATGGTGAGGGATTTCTGGGTTTTGGTTTATTTATACCACACATTTAGAAACACTCGAATTTAAACCTCCTGGGAATGATTTTCAGTCTGGATCTGATTGGCTGGAATGTCCTTAAAGAGTCAGGACATAGAACCTCTTCCACTGCATACACCAGATGTATGTGACATTTTTTTTGTTAAACATAATTTGTTGTCAGTTGAGCTTTGGGAACTCTTTTATTTTTCTTTTTAACTGTAGGTTTTTTTTTGGGCCATCAGAAACAGGGGAGATGTCTAAATTCATGACTTCCCTCCTGTTTGCTTGGTTTGGGCTCAGATGGCTCAGGTAGGACTTCACCCTGTAAAGCCGAGTTTAAACTTCTCCATCAGCAGGTTGGCATTGACACGCCCACATACCGATGGACAGACTTCTTTGTTTGTATGTCAGTGTTGTGCAGCAATTCAACACCAGGACAGCAGGGGGCGTAGCCCTATACTGACGGGTCCGCCTACCATTCAGGTGACATCTCTGATCGATGACA